GTAGGGGTTTCTCCACAGCATCAAGAGTTTCTCTTCATAGCAGGAACTTCCCAGGACTGGGTGTCATATCAGATCCAAGGATCAAGGATGCTGGCCTACTGTGTACTACAAAGTTGATGTGTGTGTGTGTGTGTGTGTGTGTGTGTGTGTGTGTGTGTAGCATGTTAATCAGCTCCGTTTAATCCTGTGCACAAACGCCAATCAGCCCAGTTTAATCTGATGTACAACACCTCGACCCTCGTTTGTCGATTGAACTATAAAAGGCTGAAGAGCTGTGCGGTGCTGGTGTCTAAGTTTTCACGAGTCCTTGTGTCACCATGCTGAGTACCCCACCGCCCGTGAACCCGCTGAACAGGATGGACTCATCTGTTTCTCTTCCTGTTGTTTTACGATGATGAAACACAAGGAATTCAAGCAGGTTCCTGTACAGTGGGACCCGAGGAAGGAGGTGTGCTTGTCAGGGCGATTCCAGTGTGTAGTACCCTCCGTGCACCTACAGCTACACCCCCTCCCTGCGCCCTTCCCTGCATCCCTCCCTACTCCCCTCTTTGCACCCTACACTCCTCTCTGCACCCTACACCCTTCCCTGCATCCTACAGCTACACCCTTCCCTATACCTCTACACCCTAAATCCCTCCCTTCACCCCTCCCTGTATGCTACAGCCACTCCCGGCACCCCTCCCTGCAACCCTACCCATATCCCTCCCTACACCTCCTCTCAGTTCCTGTGAAATTCTGACAAATTTCTGCCATTGTTTCTTCCAACTGTAAAGCTCCATTTTTTTTTATATATATTCAGTAAAGAAGTGAAAGTTCTCAGAGCCATGACACATGGATTCCTCCGACACACATGCACCTCCTCCCCGCCCCGCTGGGGTCAATAACCCAGATTCTCGCTCCAGCGTTTACCTGCCCCATACCTGTCCCCCACCCGGGGGATGGCAGACTCTCCTTGACACCCGCCCCCCTGCAGATGGCAGACTCTCCGTGACACCCTCACCCGCCCCCAGCGGGTAGCAGACCCTAGTGACAGTGACATCTGTCCATCCCCCTAGGGGGTAGCAGACCCTCCGTGACACACCCCCCGGGAGTGGCACACCCCCACGACACCCCCCCATGGGTGGCAAACCCTCTGTGACACCTTTTCATCTCCCCGAGGGTGACAGACCCTCCTGTGACACCTATTCCCCCCACCTCCGTGCCAGCCCCTCCAAGCTGCTTGAGCCCCAGGAGGCTCCTTTTCTCCCCAGGACAGGCTGATAGGCAGTGGTGTCCCTGGGTTCACCCAGGAACGGTGAAGTCGCTGATGGCTCAATCACAAGGGGCCCGAATCCAGGTCAGGTGTTGACACATCAGCGCGTGGGCGTTAAGTGTGTGTGATTTACGCTTATTTCTCTTTTGTGCTGTAATTAGGACACGCACGGCTGTAAATGTAATTGTGCGTAGATTACAGCATGCAGGGTGAACAAAGGCTCCTTGAAAGTGAGGCTGCGGAGCCTGGGAAAGTGGGGAGGGAGAGTCTGCCCTGTCTCTCGTGACACAGCATGACACACATAGTGAGGTCCACGGACACGGGAGACCCCCGAGCCCAGAACTGGTGTTCATATGGAGCAGGTCTGAACCAGTGAGCATGTGTGTGTGCACACGTGTGTGAATGTATAGGCATGTGCATGCATCAGTGTATGAGTGCGCGTGCGCATCTAAGTGTGTGTGCACCTGTGTGTTCATGTGTGTAAGCGTATGTGTATGCATGTATGTGTGCATATGTGCATGTCTGCATGTGCACATGCTTAAGTGTGAGTGCTGCGTGTGCATGTGAGTGTAAGCCTCTGTGAGTGTCTGCATTTTTGTTCATGTGCATGTGGCAGTGTTATGCGCGCGTGGGCATGCATGTGTGCATGTGCGCGCCTGTGTGCCGCTTAGAGCCCCAGCAGCCAGTTGTATC